ATCTTGTTACTTATGTTTTATAATTTTATTTTAATTCAAGTACAACGTCTCATTATAAAATATGTTGCATGATGGTCTTAATTAAATTTCTCCCCAAAATCAAATGCTACCCTTATATATATATTAGAAAAGCTGATATTGTAGAAGCTGAGCGTCAATGAAAAAAGTGGGAGGATAAAGATAGTCAAACTGAAGAATGTAAATGATGAGAGGCAGAAAGCAGAGAACAGAGGGGAGAAATTTTTATGATGAGAAACCACACATGCTGCACACACGCACGCTCTTTTGGGTGAGAAATCTTTTGCAAAAAATGATTGTAAAATTCTATTTAAATATATAAATGACCATCAAACTTTTTAAAATACTGTAATTTCTTTAAAATTGTTGGATATCTATCTAACATTAATAGTTTTCATGTTAAATGATTAAATTATTTTTTATTTAAAATAAAAATAACATGTATAATTTTTTTTTTAATCACAACTTTTATTTAAATAATCATAACTTTTATTATATAAATCATACAAATTAAATAAAAAATAAAAATTTCTCACATAAAATTTCTTCTATGATTGATGAATAAGTTCTAAAAATAATCAATCCCAATCGCATTTTTTATTTATGCAACGATAACTTTAATTATATGAGTATCAAAAATTGAACAAGAAATCAAAACTTCTCACATAAAATTTATTTTATTATTGAAATTTAAGTTTTGAAAATAATCAATTATACCTCTTATTCAAACAATTATCAACTTTTATTATGTGAATCGTAAGAATTAAATAATAATTCATAACTTTTCATATAAACTTTCATTTATTATTAAAGTCTAAGTTGTAAAAATAATTCATTATAACTTTTGTTAAAGCAATCATAATTTTTATTATGTAAATCATAAAAATTAAACAACAAATTATAACTTGTCATGTGAATCCATTATTTTTTTCATTTCAAATAATAGATAATTTAGTTATTTAATTTAAAATTATTAATGTCATAAAAGTATCATGAGATTTTAAATGAATTATAATATTTTAAAAGATTTGATTATCATTTATATATGTTGATGATATTTTTAATATTTTATTTTGTTTATTTATTTACTTGACTGACAAAAGCATCCATTGTTTTGTTATGTTATCTTTGCTCAGCTCCTAAGTCCTAATTCCACTGTTGTCTTTTAAGAAGATTTTAAATATCTTAATGATACCTAAAAATTTTAGAAAAATTATAACATTTTAAAAAATTTAATTATCATTTATCTATTTTAATAAGATTTTATTGCAATTTTTTAATTTTATTTATTTATTTACTTGACAGACAACAGCATCTATCATTTTATCATTTTATCATGTTGTCTTTGCTCTGCTCCTAGTTCCTGTATATACTTAAAGCACAAAGGGAAGGAGGAAGCTGCCTCTTCGTTCTCCCACTCCCTTTATTCACGCCTTTTCCAAAACAACCTAATGCCCCAATTATTCATTTATACGCACTGTACATTATACATACTCGAAAATTTTATAACCCAAAATGTTACAAGTTTCGGATGCGAATGAGATGCTAATTATCTTTCATTTTATTTACATTTCATAATCTAAATGAAAGATATTCCCTTAAAAAAATTCATGCATGGATTTATAAAATCGTTTCGTGCAATAAATTTTATTTTATAATCACGGTGGTTAAAAATATCTCTCAATTAACTTATGCACTAACACACCGATGACAGTTAGTCCAAATAAATTAATGGTTTTAGCACTTGTTTGCTTTAAATGCGGTTTTAAATTTGATTGTGTACGTAGAAATTTGCCTCTAGAAAAACCATACATCCATGCAGCCTAATTCCACTTGATACGACTTGGTGGGGCATGGCATGGTTTTCAAAGATATGATGTTAAGAAAATCTTAGATGTTTTCCCAACCAAAAATTAAAAAAATAAAACTCATATGTTAAAACTATAACCTATGCTGTATTGTTCTGGCCAATAAATTATGCTATACTAAATGCAAAAAGGACAAACACACACACACACAAACTTATACGTTGAAACGTATGCCCTGTTTGGTGCATGGAATGGGTCTTAAGAAATGAAAGTGACATTGGAAGTGAGATTAGGCTATAAAAATTATGTTTGATATAGCATAGGAATGCTTGAATAAAAATTATTTAATGCAAGTGATTATAATTTCAAAAGGCTATAATACCCTTGTCTAAAAAAATGAATTTCCAATCGAACATATTGGAGATCATGAAGACGAAGGCAAAGATTCCTCATCCTATCAGTTGAAGCAGATTTTCGCAAGATTTAATTTCACCTCACACTCTTCATTATTCAAGATTTAGATTTGAGAGAAACCTCACGCCCCAAGGTGAACTTTTTGGTAAACCTCAAGCCTCAACTTAATTTGAACTGAGATTTAATGGAGGAGGAGGCTTTAGTGCTAAAAACGAGGACGAAAATGATGGCTAAAATGATGATAGCAATGGGATCAGGTGGCCGTAGCTTGGGTGCATGTTGCAAACAATTATGCAATTTGTGCAATTTCCATGACTTTGGTTGCTGTTCTCCTCCTTCTCTCATCTTCAATGCCCTCCTTTTCTATTTAGATTTAGAAGCAACATCAAGGGAGGAGAGGCTTGTGTTGGCATCACTAGGACCGTCTACGAAAATTCTTGACTGGGTGGAGGGCAAAGGGAGAGAAATGGGGGAGAGAGGATGAGAGCAAGTTGGTTTGAAAATCAATTTTAATATTGATTTTTCAATATCGAATATGGTGGTATTACGTAATCCCATTTAAATAAAATTGAAATTAGATTCCTTATTCTCTTATAACAAAGATGATAAGGTGGGGGTTTACCCAATCATAATCCCAATCTTACATTCTCAATCCTTCATATTAAATAGAGCTTTATAATTCACTTAACTGTTTTGTTAAGAAAAGCAATTAAAGAGCTTCAAAACCATGCCATACATCTTGGACCAGACCGAGTTTATAGATTAATTTTCGTGGAAAAATCTATGGCTGTATCTCAATAATTTCATATATTATAGGGAATGAAAGAAAAAGTAATAATTTTATGGAAAAAAGAAAGGAAAGGAAAAATAATTAAACATGATTGGTAGGACGGAATCTGGACGGCCCATGCATGCTGAGGGGAAAGGGAATTTCCTTTCTACTCCTCCCCTTGTTTTTTTCCCTGCCAACTGTTTTCCCTGTTTTTTGGGGGAAACAGACACCAAAGAAAAATACATCCAATCTCACTCTGGGATTTTATAAGCCTATTTTAACTCAGAAATAAAATAAAACAAAAAAGAACAAATCCATCACATGGAAAAAAGGTCGGCATATGAGTAGAGAAATGAGATGTGATCTAGAGATACGGAGGTGAAGTTGTGGACAGGATCCACAAGTCCAGATGGCCACATGTAGAGAAGCAATGCGAGGAAGATTAGGTGTGGCAGGCTGTAGAGTAAGATGGAAAGCGTGTGGCTTGGGGAGATCTCGGCCTTCAAACCTGGACGCATTCGCCACTGTTTCATCAAACCAACGGTTCAGAATTTCCAGTTTTGCACGGAGGAAGATAGTGTGCTGGCTTCCGAGCTTGATACGTCACCTACAAAGTTATTAAAAATTTTAAATTTAATTAACGAACAATTTTATTCTTTAACTTTAAAGGTTTTTTTTTATTATTTTGTTAATTTTATTATTTTTTTATCATTAATTGATAATTAGTGAGCTCTACATTACATTTATAATATATTCAATATATTTTTATTATAAAATATTTAAATTGAAAGTACCTGTTAATCTTTTAAATAAAAATTAAGAGAAAAAAATGATCCTTAATTCAATAAAAAATGTTAAAAAATAATGAAACTTTTTAATAACTAATAGATTTAAAGTGTTTACAATGTTTGGATGATAAAAAATGAATCTTTAAAGTTAAAATTTATTGTAACTCTTTAAATAAAGTTAAGAAGAACAAATAATCTCTAATTTGCAAATAAATAAATAAGGCGCTGGCGTATGTGACGGTATTACTATTCTGCACTTGGCAGGCAATGCCTCAACCTTAAGACTCCACCATGGAATTAAAACTTTTTGGTCCCCTCTCGCGAGGTATTGTTCACGTGAATATGTTTCTCCAAAACAATAACTAATAATAATACTAATCAATAACTCAAAATTTTCATAAATTATATCATAAATAAAATTACTTGTTTCCTCGGCTTTTCACAGGGTACAAATACAAAGGGCCACCTAATGAGGTAAAATCTTGCATTGATATATCTTGACACACTATCATAGTTTATTTGTTGCTAATAAACGAATAAGATTTCATTATTTATTTATTAATGTCAAAATCACATTGATAATTATATATGTATACTCAATGGCGAGCCACATTTGAGTGAAGATATGCAAATACATTTTCTCATCTTGGAAAAAATTATTATAAATAAAGTATGTAAATTTTATAATTTTATATCTCTTATTTTTTATATTTTTCCCTCTTTGAATTAAATAAAAAAGATTTGGATTCAAAAGCTTATTAGACATATAATATTTTAAGAATTGGGATAAGAGATGAAAATAATATTTATATAAAAGACTATATTAGCACATTTAATATAATTTTTTTAAAAAATAATTATCAATCTGCTTATATTATTACAATTTTAGCATTAGTGTAATTATTATTTTTAAAAAATATATTAATTTTAAAATTAAACAATCTTGTACACTCTAATTTGAGTCCTAGCACGGCTACTGTGTGTACCTGTTTTTATTCTTTTATATAATTAACATTGTGATTTGTGATGATCAAGGGCCGGTGACTTCTGCGTACAACAGAATAAATAAATAAATAAATAAATAAAGCCCACCCGGCCTTTGCATCAATCTAATAATATATCGGGTAGGATTTATTTTATTTGTATATTTGTTTTATATTAGCGACGCTTGCCTTGTATTGTAATGAAGAGATCAAGTTGGAAAATTTTGAAAGATTTGGATTTGGTGTGAAATCTGGTCGGATCTTGCTTTGTGCGATGCGATGTGTCTTTTTTCAATACAAAACTCTTTCTCCTTCTTCTTTCCCTCTGTACTCCTCCTCCTCCTCCCTCTCCCATAACTAAAAACTAGACAAGCAACGCGACTCTCTCTTCCCTTCCATTCCCTTACCTTCTTCCAATCTTCTCTCCTATCCTTGCCTTCCTGCGATTTTAGGTTTTTGATTTTTCATCTGACAATGGGAATGGCCACGGAGTCCCGATTCCACGTGTTGGCCGTCGATGACAGCCTAATCGACCGGAAACTAATTGAGACACTTCTCAGGACCTCCTCCTATCAAGGTAAAATATGGCAATCCTCTTCTCTTCTTGATCGCTGCTTCCTCGTCTGATTTTAACTAACTCCGTCGCTCTGTCGATGCAGTCACCGCCGTTGATTCTGGCAGCAAGGCTTTGGAGTTTCTCGGTTTGCGTGACAATGATCAGACCGACCCTGATAAGCCTTCTGTTTCTCCTCACAGTAATCAGGTATAATGATTTGTTCTAGTTTCCGCTCGAAATGTATGGGATTGGCCCAACCTCTTCGTGCCTTTTTCCACCTCCAGGTTTCATTTCTGGATGTCTGAACTTGATTTCTTCTGGTTTTTGCATTTTTCACAGGAAGTGGATGTGAACCTTGTTATTACAGACTACTGTATGCCTGGCATGACTGGTTATGACTTGCTCAAGAAAATCAAGGTATGCTTTGCTTTCTAGTTCTGACAATTCTCCATCAATTGTATTATTTTAATTTAAGCTGTTTATTTCTGTTAGTTAAATACAGAACCTGTGTCTCCTTTCCTCTTTTAGTGGCAAGACTCGACTCTGTATTTTGAAACTCTGAACCCCCTAGCGTCAGGACTTAGAACTGTCAATTTCCTTAGTTTTACTGACTTGCCATATGATAGATATCAAGGAAAATCCTCTGGGAAATCATTCTTGTCTGATATACAATTTTTCATTCGAAACAAATCTGGCTTATGATCACCAGATTTGCTTCTCAGAAATGCCCGCTTTAGTGGCTAGGAATTAGTTGAAGAATTCTATAAGAATCTGTTGTGTGCTGGCAAATTCTACCTGAGAGGCAAGAGACTTGCAAGTGACAGTGCATTGCTTTTGTTATTTCAGGAATCCTCGTCTCTGAGAAACATACCAGTGGTGATTATGTCATCAGAGAATGTCCCTTCCAGGATTAGCAAATGCTTAGAAGAAGGAGCAGAGGAATTTTTCTTGAAACCGGTGAAGCCAGCAGATCTGAATAGGCTTAGACCCCATATGATGAAGACCCAGAAATTGAAGGATCAAGCACATAAAAGAGACGAAAAGATTGAAACCCCAGAGATTCAACTAGCGTCACAATCACTAGTAGAGCAACAGCATCAACAGTCAGTGCAGCTAGTCAATACTAACAAGAGGAAGACCGTGGAAGAGGGGCTTTCCATTGAAACTGACAGAACAAGAACAAGATACAATGGCATAGCCACTGTGGTCTGATGAATCATGCCAGATTATTTTCTCTCTGTTTAAAATTGGAAATCCCGTGTATCTTTTTCGGAGTCTCATCGATCCTGTACACATTTCCTGAAAATATTACCTTCCAATTTTGCTCCTGAAACATATCGATTGAGAAGAAACCGAAGTTGAAACAAGTGGGAAGAATCAGATGATTCTGTGCTTTGGGTATGCAAACAATATATTTTGCACCCAAGGATGTTCATGAGAATCAAATTCAATTGGCATTAAAGCGAGGAAATGCTGCAGCGATCGCTGCATTGGCATGATTCACTCCTCACGAAATGTCGTTTGGATTAGGCATGAACATCGTAAATAATGGGCCTTTCTTATTAATGTGGTTTATTGGCGCTTGTTTGCATAGTGGAGACGAAAATTGTCTCTGTGGAAAGCGTCAAAAGTTGCACTCCGGATGTATTATTTTTCGCCTGTGTGATTCAAGATTTAAACTTCATTTCCCCGTTGCTGGTGAAACCGGATCAATATCGATTGCTATATTTGATGACACTACCACAAAAAAATTATAGGGCAACTCGGCAAAGGATTTTAAAAAACTTGTTAACAGTTTTCATGATATGTGTGTGTGGGGGGTAACTGTTATATTTAACACGTTTATTTGAGTTTTCACTTTTCAATCTATACATTTCCTTTCCTTTTCTTAACTTCGATTGAATCTTTGATTTGACTGTCTTGTGATTCTGAAAAAATCGGCAATGGGTTTAAAAGGATGATCGGAGAAGGTTCATGATATCCTTTTATAACGTTAGTTATACTAAACTCGTTTATCATCGCCTCTGTCATGGAATCATAATGGCAAAATAAAGACGCCCTCCGCGTAGCAAGTCAATCACAAACTGTTCATCAAGATGAGGCTATTCTTATTCTGATCGTTGAGGTTAAAGGCGTGGCGGGATCCGCTACTGTTGCGCTCATGTTCTGGCCGTCCTCTCAGTGACAAATACCGGCCATCCCCGTTGACGGCGGAAGTAGTGAGGTAACGAGAGGACAAAGGTGTGGGGCTGTGGGCTTCGAGTTCCTCCATCTCGTTGAGAGCAGATGGAAATCTGGGCTTCCAGGCCCACGCGTCAGAAGAAGGCTTAACTCGGAGCCATTTCATTGCTCCGAGAAAATTTTTTCCCATAAAGATCTAAAATTTTTACCCTATAAAAAAAGATATAAAATATTCATTTTAATCCTGCAATTCTCATTTTAAAAATAAATTTAAATTTTTTAATATTTATTTACAGAAAATGAAAAATGATTTTCATGAGCAGCATTACTTTTTATTTCTTCCCATTCTATTGCTTTGAGCGAGCAACCTCATAGATTTTGCTGTAATCTTATCTGGTGTTAAAAGTATGGCTAGAATATCCTTGTCCTTAACAGCATGAAATGAGCAGAGATGATTGAAAAATGGACACTGATTGATTAAAATATCCAAGCAACCGGGATTCACAAACTCCAAATTCAGTATTTGTTTTCTTTTAATTTCAAGTTGTTTTGCTTGACTAGAAAGCAAAGAGATTGGGGGAGGGGGGGAGCTTAGACGCTAACAGCTAACTACATGTTCAGTACGCAAAAAAGTATTTTTCTAAAAAGAAAATGAGTAATATGTTTTGAAAATAAAATAAAATAAATACATTTTTTTAGAAAACACTTTTATTTATCAACATATTTCATAAATTAGGTTATTTGAATTTGATGAGTGGCGTTGTCAAAGTTGTTAATGGCTTGAAATTTGGCTTCCAACCAAGTGTGTATATTTGTCTTTCCAAATCAAACAAATAAAAAATATGATGGATTAGAAATATGCCAAAAGCATCTCAAAATACCCGTGAAGCCATCGATAATAATAACAGTCTCAAACAACACGAGTTCAAATTTGCTTGGGCAAAAATTAGTATTAGTAATATTCACAAATTACCGGGCAATGGAATTTTAAAAAAAAAATTACTGCTAACCAGGGGAAACACAAAATCTGGTTTCATTTAACTAGCCAGTCAAATAGTTCATCATATGCGGAATCCATCAATCAATTCAAAGTGCATTGGGTGGCGAAAATTAAAAAACATGTGCTCGAAACATAAAAACTGTTTGAAATTATTTTTATTTTATTATCTTGAGAACTGATATTTTATAAAATATATATTTTGAGAATAAAAAAATAATAAAAAAATATATATATATTTTAATTATCCTTTATTTTTCAAAACAATAATCACAGGACACTTAAAAGTTATTTCTATTTTTCTATTCTCTAAAATAATTTTTTATTTTTTTATCCTCCATAATATTTTTTAAAAATATATTATCAAACAAATTTTCTTATTCTGTTACTCTGAAGAATAGAAAACTATTATCAGAATAAGTTTTCAAACAGTCTCATATACTTGCTACTCCCTAGTCACGGTCCTCACGGAGACTTTCTTCATTCCATTCAAAAACAATGTGGGAATAAGGGAAACCCGATGCTCAAAACTGTTTTCACAAATAAGTGTGCTTTTGCCCCCCTTGCCGGAGACATATATATACAGATTGTACCATCTGGAAACTCCATCACTAGAGTAATCCTACAAGTACGGTTTCAAGTCCGCGGAATAGTTCATATCAAATCATATGGCTATCGAGGGGGAAAAAAAACAGAGAAGAAGAAGTGAGATCTCTACACCAGACTGACACTGGATTTTTTTGTTTTGGCCAAAAAAGACTGACACTGGAATTGAAGGCGACGTTTTAGAACATGAATCTTATCCCCTTCTTTCCGTAGCCTCCACAGAACTGCACGACGGAAAAAGTAACATTCGATTAGTTTTATTGATCATTCTTGTACCGCCTACTGAATTTCCAACAAATATCACGGGGACCAACAGATTGTATCATATGTAATATAAAATGAGAAACACCCACTAAACCAAACAAATAAACAAATACAATACAAAGATACAATCCACTAGCGAGTTACATAATAAGAACCTGTCTCAACTCAACGGTGATTGATATGTTTTCTATAAAAACAGAAGTAAAATGACCACTGCCAAGACAATGTCAATAACATAATAAAAAGTGAAACACAACTCTTCATGACGTTTTGCCCTGTCATTTTCTGAAAGGCGGTTCAGCAGAACTCGTCTTCATTTGATCAAAATGCACTTATTCCCCCTTCATTACTTGGACGTTGTGATCCCCCACAGCATTCTTTCTGATCTTCTGCTTAAACTAAGAAATTAATCCTCTTATGGCTATTGCAAGAATTCAAGCTTCAACAGGTTATCTTTGTTTCAAGATGCCTAACCATAAATGCTTTTTAAACCTGTGTCTATTTTCATGGAACGCAGTTTTTTGCTCCTATACACCAGAACCCCTAACTCCGAATAACTACAAGTTCTTGAGCCTGGCACCAAGTATTTAAAACTATACCATAGAGGCCATCAAAACAAATCCAGAGGGTAAAAAAAGTGATAGTGATGATTGTGCAAATTACAGTTGCATGGCTGAAATGTTTAAAGAACCAACCTGATTCAAGAACTCCAGGTAAGAACCTCTAAATTCGTACTGACTTTAAGTTTATAATGATGTGCTGATTGCAAAAGTATCCACACATCTAATCAACTGGGCACAGCATAGTTCCAAAGTTGAATCATTCCAACCTTCTTTGTACATGGTCATTGGGGAGTTAAACCTCTTGGTTAAGAGGAACATGTCATAAATATGGACCAACTTGATGCTGCCGCCAAAATCTTCAAATCATGACCTAAATTGGTCATGAGAGTTTCTATACGCATTCAATCTCAAAAGATTGCCCCTCGCCTTGGCAAAGCTCAAGCAAGGGCGGGGTGATGCCAGTGAGGACGTCATGGAATTGGTTCGATCCTTGATTTTAATTTTTTTTTTTAAAAAAAAACTATACATGATAGCTAAGCTAAGACAAGAACCCCAGAATTATCTAGAGCTGTCATGTCCAGTGTTCCTTTAATCAAATACTCTTCCCTCCAACCAGTTTCGTACAATGTCCTATAATACCTGATCGTTGATTTATACCCTTTTCCCCCAAGCAATCCATCTGAACTAAATGAATCACCGCTCTAATATTCTGCAACCATATCACCTTCTAATACTTCACCAAGAATGCAATATAATATATTAGCTTCCATCTGACAGCCAATTCAGAAATAATAGGATGCAAAAACAGATATGTAGAGGGGAAAGGAAGCACGGCCAATTTGTTTAATAAATCCTTTTGCTAATTAAACAACTATGGTTTCAGAAACAGATAAAACCGATTACGAAAGAGTATAAAAATGACTTCGCGAGACGAACCAGAACCGAGGCAAAGGTGAACAGTGAATTAGGTTTTTGAATCATCCAACATTGAAGGGACCAATATCACCGGATCGAAGAGAACTAGCGACCTCGTCAGCAACAGTCAGGCACGAAGATACCCACCCACTCAAAGCAATCCACACCATCTTCGCCATCCAGAGACTCATGCTCCACGGCACTGCCATATTCAGTTTCTCTGCTGTGTCTTCTCAAGAAAGAGCCAGAGATTGATGAAGAGACAGCGAGAACAACAAACCCATGTGAGATAGGATAAAGGGGTGGAATGATTGAAAGTTTGCATGTAAAGAAGCAAATTTTTTTAATGAAACTTCTTTTAAACATGATTTCAGAGGGCTTTTCTATTTGATGAACTCGCGTTTCCTTCCGTGATGCCTTGCACGGGAAGCTTTTACATTATGTTTTGACAATGAAGCACGATATGTTATTTTTATGCTCAAAAAAAATTAAATACAAATACAATTTAAGTGTCCTCAATTTATAAAGACGATATAAAATTTATATATCATATGACAAAAACATGTATGAATGATTATTTAATTAAACAGTAGTTAACTATTGTGTATTAATGTAAATTAAAATCATGAAAATAAGTTCTACAACCCATGCTTCATTGGCTGAAAAACACCCGATAACCATAGGGCACTACTAGTAAGGAAGAGACTTCGCCTAATTACTAAACTGGTACTTCATTTATATTTTAAATTGAAGAGCCTTTTCTATGATGAAGAAGTTACACTTGATTTTTTTAAAGAAAATGTAAGGAAGATGTTTATCCTCCTTTGCAAGGTCCTTTTTGCATCTATTCTCTAACGTGTCTCCTAGTGCATTGTAATAGCAAACTTAAGCAGTGAAGATGCACGTCTGTGTGTTCTTCTATTAAAATATATTCCTATTTTTCCTAGGTTAAAATAAAATGACTGCTACTACTTCACCATGTGCACCTGTAAGAAATCCATTTTATTTTTTGGTCATTATACAGTCGATTGTGATTTTGAGCAGCATCCTCTTCTCTTATCATAATTTTCAATTAACTATCAACTCATTTGATGTGTGTTGAACATGTTGATCTTGAACCTGATTCAAGAAGGGTATGACGTTAATACTATCAGCAATACAGTTACATTATCTATGCCTAAAAAGCAAAAAGAGCTGCCAGGCACGGTTGAAGAACGGTTTTGCTTCATTAATCTCATCAACAAAAAATGGTTACCCTCTCATCCTCAAATTATGAGACTCGCCACTTTAGTGCAATTCATGTAAGCCTCAACTTCCTTTTAGAACTGCAAAAATAAGCCAAGTCCGTAAAGTCAATCTATTTAAGCTCAATAATTGCTGGGGCCAAAATCAAAATTTTAAATTTTTAAAATATAAAACAAGCTTATAAAGGTTAGCCTTAATGAGTTTAGGGCTTAAATGAGCCGGCCTTAAAGGGTTGAGGGCCAACTCATTCAAACCATTTTATTCATTTACTTTTGAAATATTAATTATTATGCTAATATTGTTGATATTTTTGACATTATTGATACTCTTTTGAACATTTAATTGTTATTGTATTTTTTTTAAGAATTAAACTTTTCATAATGGTTTGGTTTGTTTAGTTCTAGATATCGATTTATCTATCCAGACTTTAAAAAATTGTTGGAGAGTTTTACTTATCACAAATTGTTCATTGTGTTTGAACAATGCGGTTACCAAGCATGCCATGGATGTAGAGTCTCAAATGTGATAAGAGGATCCTTGAGCTCCCTCATCTCAGTTCACCCAAAAGATACACAAATAATAGTGTAAAAGGTGATTTGTTTGCTATAATTGAAGTAAAAAGTTGCATTGGTTACAACTATGAAATTAAAATGACAAAATCCAAACCTAAATATAGAATACAAAGTAAATTTGAGTTGAAAGATGAGCAATAAGTCTGCTATGCCTATGGATTTTGTGTCCTAATTCCATCAATTAGACCTCTTATACTTCTGCGTTCGAGACCATTATGCCCGAAGAATCAAGAGCCCGTCAGCAAAATATTTGCTATCACTAGGCATAGTCTAGTAAGATTTAGGGCATGTCAGATAATGATAACACATCCTCTTAATGGCTTTCCATGCTCAGTCACTCTAAGTCTTAAGGGTTATGCCCCTTGCCTCAGTACATGATTAACACGAAATCTTATTTAGACGCAAACTGGGCCTTGTCTTTTTTGATGAATTATTGGACTTGACATTTATTATTCACCCTTTTATACTATTTTTTGCTTTTGTCAATTGATGCTTCATTTTTGGCCTAAACAAGTTTCTATTGCAATGTTAAGCTATAGAGAGATCCTTTGTCTTGTTTAGTACGAAAGAGTAATTTTTTAAAAAAATTGAAAGTAGAGTTAGAAGTGAAAGTAAGAGTGGAATGGAAGAAATAATGGGATTTAAAGTGTGTTTGGCATGGCAATGGAAGTGTAATGTAATTTTGAATTAATATAGTGTGAAGAGATTTGCATGCCATTATCTATAAAAAACCTACATGTTGTTGACAACAACCTCAACCACCATAATAATAAACATTTGCCAAACATCGGCGAAGTGGAAATCATAGTCAAGATTTAGATGCAACTAAGATGGTTATGGTTGTAGCAAGGATAATGGGGATGGATTGAGAAAATTCACGACTTGTCCTTCTAATGATAAACTCATTCATAAAATCTATGACTTTAATATGACATATGTACTAGTTTTTAAGGAGAAAACTTTGGAACTAACAAGAAATGATGGGACCTGCTTGAAGATAATAAGGGATGTTAGGACAATTATGCAATATGCTTCCCTGTCGACTTTAACACTAGATGCCAACTCACTAACATCCTTAAAGATGTCCAACTTTATATCCTCTCCTTCCTTATGTCACATGAAATTGCCACCTTTGCTTGCACGCTAAAGCAATTCAACTCCTTGTGCAATAAGGACAATAAACTTTAGTTTAGCTTGTGTGATAAGAGTAGGGTTTAAATACATAGATTACAAAATGGGCTATCTAGAGATTGATGACATGCTTGGTGAATATTTGAATTGCCATCTTTACTATTAGAGAATATTTGAACCACCATTAAAAGAAGTCCACTCTCATTGCTACGTCTCCCTACCATTACTTCTCAATCATCACCGTCATTGCCAAATCTCTTACCTTATTGGAGGGTAAAATGGCCCACAAGTTTGAATTCCAATGTAAGTGAACCATCTCCCTCAAGTATGTGATGGAACTCGATTACATTGATTTTAGTGGAAATTACCTCTCTTGAAAGCTATGGTGTGTTTGGTTAGGAGGAAGTGAAGGGGAAGGGAGGGCACCCCTTACCTTATTTGGTTGAGAAATTTTGAAAGGGAGAGGGCCACAATTTTTCCTCCCCTCATTTTATTTTGGCTCCCTCCAAATTGAGGTTTTTGGGAGGGGACCTAAACTTATTAACTAATTTACCCTTATAGGTTTTATTATATTCTAGTCTTGCCCTTAGAAGAAAATATAGCTGATGAGTACTTCATTTCTACAAATTATCAGGCTTTCTTACGCGTGCATCTTATTTAGATTATTCAGAGCTCTCATCATATGCCTTATCTAGATTATTTTGAGCTCTCACCATGCATCATCTCATTAAACATTATGAGTTATTCTTTGCTTCTCTTGCCCTCTTTTGATTCGTGCTTTGATATGGATCTAGTATTTCTATGTTCATTTTGTTTGATTTGTTATTTGATTTGAGACTCATCCTCTTCATCTTGTTTTGAGATTCATCCTAAGATTTCTTTTCTTTCTCGTTAAACCCTATCTGAGATTTGTTATTTGATCTAGATTTATTTAAATTCAACTTTTTTTTGATATACTTTTATCTTCAACTATATAATTTGGCCTCTAATCTAAACAGTGGACTATAATATACACGTCTGACTGTATCAATATATTTAATCACACTGTGGCATCAAGTTTCATGGTATGTGAAATTCTAAAATCAATTCATGCCAATGTTAATATACATGCCTAACTTGCTCGATGAGAGAATTGGTTTCAACTTTTAAGTATTTTAGACAAAGTGTAGTTTTATGGGAGCTAGTTGAGAAAATTGAGTCAACTAATGATAACTACTCTGTTTGATAGTAAAGTGTCAAAGTTGGTTTGTTGAGTAGAGTTTAACAAGCATATCTTTATGCTTTTTTTCTCCTTTGGCCAAGCATGTAACATATTGATCATTATTTTCTGCTTCTTTGCTAAGTGAAGTTTAATAAGTGTCTTTATTGATCATTATTTTTTGCTCATGGAACTGAATCTTCTACTCTTATTTGTAATAATTATGGCTTGTTTATTAATTTGCATTATGCTTTTTGATTACTTTGTTATATGAGCAAAAATTTGAATATATTTTACTAGTGCAACATTGGTTTGAATTACATTAAAGAGCATGAGCTCTTATTGCTTGTGTCCTTGCAAAAGTATATGCAAGTAAGATTTATTTTAAAAAAACAAGTTACAGTTTAAGTAGCATGAGAGAAACGGTGCATTATAAAATAATGAGTCGAATTAGTTATTATCCATCCAGTTGAAATATCATTAGAATGGCTCCTAAAACTTTCTTAGAATTGTGTCGTATAGTAGAAAGAGAGGTTGGCCTACAACCCACGTGATGGTCAAATGTAAAAGAAATGGTTGAAATTCTATATATATTGACACACAATGCAAAAATTACGAAGTAAATTTTTGGTTTGGGCATTTTAGTAAGACAATTGGTCATCATTTTCATCAAGTTTTGACAGCTATTATTGACTTATAAGAAAAATTTCTTATTTAATCTAATGGCTCAACCATCCCTCCTAAATTAAAAAAGTAAAGAAGTTCTTCCCATATTTTAAGGATAGTGTTGATGCTATTTATAAGGTTTCCCTCACTAATTCCCAATTAGCTCTTTAATTCAAGGTGATTAAGGGATTATCCTAAAATAAGATTTCCAAGTTTGTAAAAATTATAAGTTAGGATCCCAAGTTTTTAAAATTTAAAACTCTTTAAAATATCTTTGCAAATAAAAAAATCAGAGTTTAACTAATATGCCTAAGCATGGAAATCTAAAAAGAGCAAAAGCATTTACATAAAAGTAGAAAAATAGCACAACGATGCACAAAATAGGCATGCATAGCAGCATGTTTGCCTTTACACCATGCAACGTGGTGCATTACACAGTTTTGACAACAATCTTGCTGTCATTTGGCAGCAACTGGGATGAACTTTTGATGCACTCCAATTCTCTATTCGACATCAAAATGAGATGATCTGGGAGTCTGTAGAGAGCTTTCTTCTGGCTTTAACTGATGACACTGATTTCACAATCATAACATTTCTCAATCAAAATTTGGAC